GAGACTATCGCACGTATCCACTTGAAATTTTAACTGTAGCTTCACAGTAACATTATCTAGTAAACTACGTACGATTTTTTTGTTATCATTGCAACTTTTCTTTTATAAATAATTTACTGCTCATTTTTTCGGTCAAAAATTGAACCTTTTTTTACAAGTCCGCCATTTTGCGAAAAATTGATGTAAAGCTAAAAACATACGTACTTTACTAGCAAGTCTTATGTAGATTAAATCCCGTTCTTTATTTTGTTTCAGATAGCACGAGTTCCTAGAATCACCGTCGCCCGTAGAGGCCCTCTTGAAAAAGGTGATTCCGAAGATTGGCCCAGTAGCCGCCATTTTGTATCAAAATGTCAATATAAAAATTTTTTTATACACTTAAATACATGTTTAATAAAGCGTGAAAGAGAGAAATTCCTTTTCCCTTACTCTCAGAATAAATTGTCAAAGTTAGACCTTTTTTGAGGGCTCTATACTGGCCTAACCCCTTAAAGCTGCTGTCTGCTGTCTGCTCTGTTTTTCTTGTTGCACTTATCCCTCTCCCGCCTACCTAAGGTAGGAGTATATCTATATATGCGGCGTCGCCACAGCCAATCAGAAGAGTGTGCGAGAGAGAGAAGAGGTCAAATTCACCTTCTTTCTCTTTCTATTCAACCGACGCTTCCACTTATACGAGCCCGTATAGTTCACCCCCTCTATCTATAATATCTCTATGGTTATATCCCTGTTGCACACCCAGTTAAGAATAGGAACATGTGATTGGTCTATTTTACTAGAGATATTGAAATCATCCAATCACAGGTCGTTGTACCGGGAATATGGATAATTTGAATACTTTTTGCGCAGAGCCATTAGTCCTAGTCTACAATAGGTGTCTTAAGAAATTGACCAATCACAATTGATTATTCTATAATTCTTCTAAGGTTTAGGACTTAAATTCTCATTGTAGACCCAGCTTTAGGCAAGCGTTTCCGCATTCTATATGCCAACTGCTGACGTCAAGACTATCTCAGCGCCATCTGAGCTAATAGATCAGGTATGAAGCTAAAACGCAGTTTAATAACCTCATGCATGAGTTTCGTCACTCTGGACGTGGTTGCTTTTAGGCACGAAGCATTGAAGCAGTTAAGATTGATAAGGGGAACAACTCGTACATTTCTGTTTTTTATTACGATAATATACCATTATTTTATAATAGAACATGTCCGATAATTCCGAAGATGAATTGAATTGTGTCGATGGTGTCGAGGAAACACCCTGGATTTTGTATAGAAACCGAGATGAGTGGAGCGATGTGACCCCTCTACCTCAGGATGACGGTCCTCATCCGATTGTAGCAATCGCATATTCCGAAAAGTGTAAGCGTATCTCGAATATTATATCATTATTAGGTTAAATAGTATCTTGTACGATATATTCGAAGTCAACGACGTATACTTTTCATAATGTGTATGTATATTTAGAATGGATTTAATTGATTTAAATTGCAGTTTTATCATCAATGTGTGACTTTATCTCATGACTGTTCCAAATTTTCAGTCAAAGATGCCTACGATTATTTCCGTGCCATTCTAAAGTCAGGCGAAAAGTCAGATCGCGCATTGGCTTTAACCGAGGATTGTACATGGCTTAATCCGGCGAATTACACTGTATGGCAGTACAGAAGAGAGATACTTCAAGCTTTGGGAAAAGACTTGCATGATGAGCTGAAATATACAGACAAAATGATAAAGTACAATTCTAAAAATTATCAAGTATGGCACCACAGAAAGGTCATTGTTGAGTGGCTACAAGATCCTAGTGATGAATTAGCATTTACAGAAACTATTTTATGTAAAGATGCAAAGAATTATCATGCGTGGCAGCATCGTCAGTGGTGTATACAAACATTTAAGTTAGTACATCCTCGTTTCAAGGATTCTGATAAATTTTCTCTTACTGTTGATACGTGTATATATATTAAAAGATATATATTTATGTACGTAGTTTATATGACAAAGAATTGGAATATGTAGAACAATTGTTAAAGAATGATGTTCGCAATAATTCTGCTTGGAATCAGCGTTACTTTGTGATAAGTAATACAACCAAGTTTGAGAAAGAAGTAATAGACAAAGAGATTGACTTTGCACTGGAGAAGATAGAATTAGCGAACGAAAATGAGAGTGCTTGGAATTACTTGAGAGGGTAATTATATTTTATCTTACGATGGAAATTTGGAGAAAACATTTGAAAAAAAAATCTGGATATATATTATTTATAAGGACTTTATTCTTTTAGAGTATTGTTACATGATCCCAATGGTTTGGGTTACAATGAGAAAGTACGACTTAAATGCTATAGGATGTATGAAAGCGGATGTCGTACTAATCATTTGTTAGCCTGTATGATAGATATTTCTCAAGAAACGTTTACAACAGAAGAATTCATACTTTCTCCATATTTTGTTGATTCTGCTATTGGGGTAAGTAAAAATGCCAGTCCCAATTTATTTTACAGTATTAAATTGTATTATTCGTACAATTTAAATAGTATTATTAATATTCTTTTATTTCATATTTATTTGATATGCATATTTACATTTTAGTTGTGTAAAGCATTGTCGAAGAAGCACGACAAAATACGAAGGCGGTATTGGGATTATATAGCTACGGTATTACAGGACAAAATGAATGAAGAGTTAGAATCAGATTAATCAGATTGACTCGATTAAGGGCTAAGAAAATCTTATAGTGTGAGTTGTTTAAAAAGTTTTAGAGAATGTTTTTATACATCAGCCTGTCTGGTTGATGTCTCTTGGCCTCTTTTGTCTACAAGTTTCTGTATTGCACAAGAACAAAATTCTTCAGCAATTTATATATATATATATATATATGTGTGTGTGTGTGTGTGTGTGTGTGTGTGTGTGTGTGTGTGTAACCAGTTTATACAAAAAACATGACAGCATTTTATGTGACCCTGAAGCGTCTCATTAGAATTAAATATTATTAAATATTCGGAAAAATTATGATAAGCGAAACTTCAGGATAGCATTAAGCTGTACCAGATATATTGTACCAGTGTTAGTAATCTAAATAAAATAATGCTTTATTTTGTGTTGACATTCTCAGGTCTGTTACTTCTTATTTATTCAGTTGTATTCTTTTCATTATTCTCTGATGAAGACGAGATGTCGGAATTCACTTTGGAGTAAATGTAGAAAATCTGACTAAGAAATTCTGTGTTTTCAATGGGAACGTTACATGGCGTGTGTTTTGAACTTCAAGTCACGATTAAAAGATCAATGCTGACAATGAAACGTACATTGGTTATCTATTTATTTATAAAATAGTTACATACTTCCAGGTATAGTACAATAAATCGGTAATAATCGTGATAACCAAGTTTCAACGTAACTAAAGGTGACGCGTAACACAACATTCTTTAGACGTAAGATTTCTTGTGATACGCAAACCGTTTCAATAATAATAATAATAATAATGTACATCGAATCTTTTCTTCTTAAGTGAGCCTCGAATAATATGAAAAGTTCGTGCGTGTCACAAATGGCTCACCCTCTTCGAGACAATGCCGAGACTTGAAGCGAAAAATAATTTTCGTTGCGGGAAAGCGACGGCAGTGACTGCGTTGCTGCAAGCTAAGCACTTTTATTTTCCCCTCTCTCTTCCTCTCTCTCTTTTTCTTTCTTTCTTTCTTTCTTTCTTTCTTTCTTTCTTTCTCTCTTTTTTCGACTTTTCGATACTTGGGCGCGAAGAAGTCACCTCGTGAACCGAAGTACACGCAACAAACACGGGCACACACGTGACAAATCGATAATCGATAGTCGATAATCGAAGTTAAGGGGAACGGTGAATCGAACGGAGACGCTACGAAGCCGTACGTAACGGGAGAAAGGATCCTCAACATGTAGTTTCGGGTTGAAAGGACATAACATCGTATCTAGCTATCCTAACATTTAACAATCAACATCCAAACGATTACTCGTTAATGCGCTCCTCCACGAGTGGAAACACACCGTCTTTGTTAACAGAACACATTGAATTACCGTCTACCGCAGTTTTCCCTTCGTCCTGAGACGTCGTACGCGTCGTTGATCGTGATATATATATGCAACTCCGATATCGCTACCAAAGAAGATTGCTTCCACCTGGGCGTCGGCGAGCCGTTAAAGCTATGAGATACGTGAGTCTTACCACAAGTATATATACACATACTTGATTTACACTGAAAATATATACGAATATATTTTCTTACTTCTGTCTCTTCTTGTCCAATTTTAAAATCCTCCATATTTTTAACATCATATAGTATTATCCGCACTCAACTTTGTCGTGTCCGACGCGCGATGCTTGAGGAACCGCGTGACATATGTGTTCTTACTGTGACGCGCGTGCAACCCTGCAACGTGCAATAAGTGTTCAACGTGTAAGGAATGACTTCGGACAAACACTACATCCAAGATCACCCAATTTTGTAGTACATCCGTGAAAATCCGTTTTACCTTCAGAGCTCAATAGATTGTAAAAATCTAATATCGCTACACCGGGAGAAAATATCTGAAAAGTAATAAGTATTCGGTGGGTACTAATAATATATCATTACTAATGTACATATTTTTACACTGAGAAATGAATTTTGTGAAGTGAGAAAATATACTTGAAATATATGCTCTTCAATGTGCAGCTTTTCACGAAAGCAATTGTTCGTTCTATTCAAATAAAAGAATTTAGAGAGAAATTTAATGATGTTATTAGCATAAGAAAGAAAAAATCATCTAAGAAATAAATATTTATATTAGGTGGATATTAAAATAACATATTCACTTATATCAAGATCACGTTAGTATATTTTATAATATTTTTACTTTATTTTACTATATATTTTTACACAGAGAAAAAAATGTTCTTCAAATAAGAAAATATACATTTTCTTAAATCTATATCTATCTACCTTTCCATGATAGCAATTATTTATTCTATATATTTAAATAAAAGAATTTAGATTTAAGTGAATATGTTATCAATATCCACTGAATAAATCATTTTTATCATTTTAGATATTTTTTCTCCCAGTGCGCGCACCGAATAAATATTTTTTTTCTTTTGGATATTTTTTTCCCTCAGTATGACTATCCACTTATCATTCCATTTATCCATTTATCATTAGTTTATTGCTACCCAGTAAACGCCAACTAACAGTAACATTACATCAATGTTATAATTTTCCATTCAACACGTGTAAGTGCCATATAATCTACGTTGTAAGCAACAGTTACATTGTCGAGAATGGGGAATCACAACAATGATGTCACTGTTGTTTACTTGGTACACGTTTGTTCATTCATCAACAATCTCGTCCACAGCTGTCTATATTTGCAGCCTAAACAACATAAAACTCCAGAAGATACTCGAGCGCAATTAACGTTAACTGAAAGTCCAACCGGTCGCGCTTTTTACGTTAGCTGCCGTGGATTGACACTTAATCGGACAATCGAAAGTTTTTACTCTTGCTTTTGCACACGACTACGTAAATGCGACTCTGCGCGCGCGCGCGCGCACACCCACACACCCACACACACACACACACACACACACACACACACACACACACACACACACACACACACGCAACATACGACGATACTTTGTATATGTAAACTATAATTCATCGCACGCCGTTTCTCATGCCTCGCGTGACACAGTTAGGCTCTATTCTTTTAAGTTCTCGTTTTATTTTCCCCTTATGAATATATAGCCTATGATTGGACCATCTGTCAGCTAGTATGCGTACAGCACGACCACGATCTCTCTCTCTCTCTCTCTTTCTCTCTTTCGATTTTTCTCTACCTAATAAATAACTCTTCCTAAGTATCGACAACTCGCAGACAACGTACGTACGTCAGTATTCCGTCCTGGCTCACCTAACGACTCGATTTCGCGTCTCACCTTTGTGGAATCGCATTTCTTTTCCTCGTCCAGTAGCTATAACGTCTATAATAGATACCACCGAGAGAGTATCCTCGGTGAAGACCTCACTACCTACGAGAGAAGAGATAGATTTTGATAGATAGATCTTTGAATCCTAATCGAGTATAGTATCTCTACGTTTAAAAGGGTTCAAGATAGTAGATATTCGCGGCGTTGTAGCCTCGTTGTAGCTAAAATAGCTAAACTAGCTAAACACGCGCGAAACGATACTCGCGCGTCGGAGTGTCGAGTGAAATCGAGTTTCGTGTGTATGTGTATCATTTTTCTTGTTTTCTTTTTCTTTTCCTCTCCTCCTCTTCTTCTTTTTTTCTTCTTCTGGATCTCCTCGCTCGTTGTAAATCGCACGGCGTAAACTTGAGGACCAATACGACCAATGCAACCGAAAAGTGCTGATTACGTGCACGAAATGAGCGTAGCGTCGAGTTGCGCCGAATCGAATTGCGAAAGACAGCGAGACACACAGCGGGAGATATAACGAGAGATAGCGGCTCGATTTTGCGGCGAATTTCTCGCGATTTGTTGTCTGGTTCGAATTCCCGTCCCCTTTCGCGAAACACACATCGGACGAAGAACGCGCGCGAAGAAGAAGTGTTTCCATTCGACCGAGTTCTCGAATTTATCGGACGCGACCCGCGACCCGACGTGTCTCTTCACGGGAACTCGCGTCCACGAACGATTTAGTACAAGAGATTAATGTCGATAAATGTACATTTAGCACGTATTCCACGGCGTTTTCCAACACGTAGAAAATGTCCGGCGGCGGAAGTTGGACGACGAAGGCCCGTTATTATTATTACGTTGTGGTATCTATTCATAGCCGCACGAGATGCGGAATAACCGCCGCATTGCGAGATAAGTAAAGGGAACATAAATGGATGTGTGACAGTGGAAGCCGGCATGTTTTCGAGTAAATTTGCAGCTAGTTTTGCGATCCGCGTGAAATATCGACCAGCAAATTCTATTTGCGAGTCCTATTATATAAAGAATGTCGATGTCCATCTGATCAGTAATGCGCGTAATATTATTTAATATTAAGTAATATTTCTGGAATATTAATAGATGGTTATATATGTCCACTTCTAATAATATTTAAAAAATAATGCTATTCAATATTATTGTAATACTGTACATTTTTTAAATATTCAACTCTATGTGTATTATGATACATAATTGTAGTTTTTTCATTTCAAATGTGTATTGCAATACCAATTGTTTTATTATATAAATAAAGTTGAAATAATTTTGTGTAAAAATATGTTTTATACTAGAAAAAAATTATATATACATATATGTTTTATTTATGTATATATATTTTTCTATATTTTTATTATTTTACTTTATTTTTAATATTCTAAGAGCATTTTTATAATATGCCAAGAATATTATATAAAGTGGACATACAACATTAATAGAATATTTATATAATATTAAAAAATATTACATAACATTCTTAGAATATTATAGGAATATTATTTTAATATTGAAGTATTTTAATATTTATATAATATCCTAGGAACATTACGCGCTTATAGGGAACGCATGAGTCATATATAACGCTACGTTACGGACATAAATAAACAAATGTCAACGTCTAATTTGAAGGAACCGTCGATTGCGCGCGTTCAGAACCTGTGTTAATCGGGTTAATTTCAGGCAGCCATATTTCGAGTACGTCCTGAGGAAGAAGGAAATACTATATCCTAATACTGTAACTTTTTAATAAGTAAGCGACACTACTGTCGTTAGATATCCTTGCCTAGCGTTCTGGTCGCGTTATAATGAAAACATTACTTTATTGTCCGATAATGTAAAATTATCAGTCGTACTAAACGAAGCAGTACGATTGTAGTTCGCGGTGGTGCACGACAATTGCGAAGTTAAATAGAAGCTAACGCCGCTCGAAATTATTTGCAATTGCGCTGTGCATTGCCTACCCGCGCGATAATTACAACGGGGAATCGATGATCTCTCGCGTATCGCGTATGTATAGGGTGTTGCATCGATAAACGTTCACGACGATTAGTCGTCTGCCCATCGACAGACGCGCGTTGGTCGTACACACAGTCGGCAGGTTAAAAGTTGTAATCAGAGGATTATGGATTTTAAAATTGTGTTTTGCCAACCAATCCTGGTGGCGACATTTTCTTTTCTATGAATTTCGCAACGCATTTTATACCTGAGAATGATTAAAAAAAAAGAATTCTCCTACTGGACACGAGTGTGTTGCGAAACTCATTGAAAAAAATTTCACGACTTTTAATCTGCCTATTGTGTATGTGTGTGTGTGTAGTGTATGACCACGCACGCCTGTCGACTACGCAACTCGTCTGTATGATGCATCACTCTGTACAGCGGAAAGCATAACTGTTTAGGCACATTGAAGTTAGGAGCGCAAACTATCATGATTGAAAATCGCTACCGACGAGCTTGCGTAATAATCGACTGCAATAAAAGCCAAAGTGACAGCACAGGGCGTAAATCTTGTTGACTAATTATACTGTTATTTGGCAGATTTTAATTTCGCTGTTTTTTAATATTTGTGTTTTTCCCGGATTTTTCGTTACATTTGTGACGTCCGATATATCCTGTGTACTTGAAGCACCAGATTTTCCAAATGTTGCTCTTTGAGCAACAATATCGCAGCGATTGAATCCAGGATACTCTCTCGAATGTATTAACACGTTGTTACGTTATCTTGATCTTGAAATTTATTTTCACACTCTATACTATCAATTTGGCTCCTGTTATAGTCGGTTATTACGCAAGCCCGTCGACTCTCAATCGTATATAGACAGTTTGTTATGCTCCCAAATTCAATGGGCCTAAACCGTTTTACTTTCCACTTTACCTATGTAAATATATTTTTAAGGCTCCTATCCCTCGTGCTGCAGTCGTTCTGTTTGATGACATCAAAAGCGAGAAAAAGCTTAGCTCAAAATTCTTGCCGAATATGTTGAGATAAAGGGATTCGTCCATAAAATCGTCACTTGTGATCGATCCATCACATTTGTAAAATATTCCACAAACTTTTCTCTCGTTCTAACGATTAATAAATAACCGTAAAATTAACATGCAACTTTCTTCTTTCGCGATTGTATCTGATTTTGTGATCACGTTAGTGTTATGCTTACTGATTAAATTTTAATTAATTATTAAAATATGTCACTAATTGTTAAAATATAAGGAGAATTCTCGGAATATTTTACAAACGTACTCTCAATCAATCGCAAGTATTATTTTATGGACGTGTCCTATTATTTCGACATATCCGGCAAGAATTTTAAATACACGCTTTTTCACTTTCGACGTCATCGAGATAACTGCGGTGGAGAAACAGGAGCCTTAAGTCCGGGTCTACGATAGACCTTTAGCATTTTCCTCTGAACACTAAATTTCCAGCAAATTTCTAGCGAAGAACATTTACCCGGCGTTGCCAGACGTCGCAATTCCTAAGATTTAAGCGTTATCACGTCTTCCAGCGACACGGGAAACATCGGAAATGACGTTACATTTTATTGCTCCGAACCAAAGTCTCAAGGCTTGTCTCATCCATCGTAGGACCCGGCCTAAAATTAATCTTAAGTCGTCAGGCGACTCTGCTCGTCGCTGACGCGCGCGCGTGCGACGAAATTGAACATAGAACCGAGTTATCTCGCTACGTCGCCTCGATATGAACCTCGATCGAACTTGCAGTACCGAGAATCTCGCGGGATTTCCCCTAGCTAGCTCGATGGTCGCGAAGGAAAGTGACATGCAGGTCTGTCGCGCGTCGAAGAAGCGCGCGAAGAAACAGAGAGAGATATCAAAACGACCATTGCGTTTCAGCGTGACACGCGAGAGTCGCGAGAAGTACGCGAAAGGCTGTAAAAGAGCGAGCACGCGATTGTGTGTGTGTCTTCTTTTCCTTGTTTCTCTTTTTAATGTAGGAAAGCATGCACAACGACAGTAATATGCGTATATAGTTAAGAGGGTATAGTTAACAGTAAGATAGGACACGGACTCGTCACACGGCGGTGTGTTTTAAGGCATAACGGAATGCTCATCGTCTCTCGCGTGCTCCCTCTTTACACCCCGCGCACACCGTCGACAACAACGACGCTTCGACTCCCCCCTTGCTGTTTCACCCTGTCAGCCCACGGTCCCTTTCCGCGTCGTAACAAATAATAACTTCGGCCTAGAACTAATCGCGGGGGAATTATATAGAAAAAGCTGAACAACGTATCAGACTTAGCTTCTTAATCTGATTAACGTTGCGAGAGGGAGTAAAAGTACTCTCTCTCTCCTTCTCTCTCTCTCTCGCTTTCCTCCCTTGTCACATCCCAGAACTAACTATCGAGTTCGAAAATATCTAGAACGACACAGTTACCCCGTTTTTCTTGTCTTTTCTTGTTTTTATACATTTACTTACGTAACTTCAAAGACATGCGGTAGTGATCGAGTTGATATGAGACAACATTCGATGTTGATCTCAATTTACACGTAAAGTCTTACGCTCTAAGTGTAGGCGCTGCTAAAAATCGAAGAAATCCTCACGCCCGTCGTGAGAATTCACACGCATACACACGCATACACACACATCGTGCGAGATCTAGCTCCCTCCTCTTCCTCCTTCGTTTGCTTCCACTGACTTCTATCGACACGTGTTCGCTTCTACTATCTCTCTAATACGTTCGACGTGTCGACGACGCGCGTTGCACGTCGCGCGCGTCGTCCGGGTTACAGTTGCCGTTCGTCAGCTTCGCTCATGAAAAAAGTTAACCGCCCTACCGTATTACCCTCTAAGTTCGGAGGAATATACGAGCATCAGTTTACCGGAGCCGCTAACATCTCCGAGTGTATATCGCGAGAAAATGCACGTGAAACGGAAGGATACCTGAAACTCGCGCCTGAATAAACGAACGGCCCCCTCCCCTGCAGCTTCCCTCAATCCCAACCTCGGTCAGACTCGGACCGACGGTTATCCCGTTCCCTATATTCCTCCTTATTTATAGTTAACCGGAAGTAGGCAGTGATGGAAAATGATTAAATATATATATTTCGATCTCTCAAGTAAATCTTCTTCGCCTATCGCGGAAGCTTTGGTCCAGTCTCCACGAGGTCGTTGGGTGATTTTAACAATAAAACATTACACTTTTCGCGTTTTCGTACGTTAGTATTATCGGGCAACAGATCACTCTTGAATGCCAGATCGATAGAGAGAAGCCACTCCCTCCCCTCCCCGAACGTTTCTCTCTCAAGCCTTTTATTATTTCGCCATTTCCATTCAACGCTCCAACTCGACTCTCTCTCTCCCTCCCTCTCGTTCTCTCTTTAGCAGCACGCAGTCTTTACAATCTAGAATCTTACAACAATAATACGTTTACCCGTCACAAAAATAAATATTTTGATATCGCTTACCACCTACACGCTTACGCACTACAAACAACAAATCCCGCTTGACACGTCCAGCTGTGCGACGGGATTCACAATAAACTTTGTATGTCTCATCCGTGAGTTGACGTTCCCGTTCTCACGTATTTTAACCTTCGTCCCCTCGCAGGTTCAATATGTTGCAGTTCAATACGTGCGCGAATGTCGCGCGCTTTCGTAACAAATTGTACGTGTACTATGACTATTCATACGTGTGCACGCCTGAAAACGTGACCGAATTGCGAACCGTATTGCTGCTGCAACGTTGTGTCTCGAAAATATCTACGCAGTTTTTAGTCATGGCGTTAATGAACAATCGGTTATACATGTCTCTCGTTTAGAATGTATCGAAAAGAAAAGAAGAAGAAGAAGAAAGAAACGTTGAAGCAGCGCGATGATTCGATGATGAAAACAACTTTAATCTGAGCCTGTGAGAGTATCGACATCGCACTTTTCCTTTTCATGCGCGAGAATTCGATGTTTACCGAAATACAGGTCGATACGAATATGATTGTCGGCTTTTCCGATAATCATCACTTATTTCGGTGGTTATTCTGCAGTTGCTGAGATTGAGAGTCGCTCGGTTTATTTGGGTATATGTTTCGGAAAGCTTCTTTTTTCAACGATACAGCAAAAGCACATACTATTGCCAAAACCGATGTACTATTTTGTTTTTAGACTCTAAAGCCTTGTTGAAGGTGTAACATTAAAATTGATATACATAGATGCAAACCAGTAACGCTTTTTCTAACAAAATATATCCCTATAAGCGCGTAATATTTCTAAAATTTTATATGAATATTTTTAAATATTAAAATAATATTCATATAATATTCTAAGAATGTTATGTAATATTTTTTAATATTATAGGAATATTCTATTGATGTTATATATCCACTTCACATATTCTTGGCATATTATAAAAATGTTCTTAGAGTATTTAAAAAAGTAAAATAATATAAAAAAATATAAATAAAATATATATGGGTCATTCCATGTGAAAGGGATACGCTCAAAAATTAGATTTGATCGAAACCTATGGCAATCGGTAGTACTATTTAGAAAACATTTGTCGAATTTTTTCGGATTTTTTGACCCACACCATGAGCTTCTATGGCTGTCATAAAATTCGAATTTTTGCTTCGACTACCAGTTTCTTAATTCTCGTCGTCGTCGTCGTGCCAATAAAAAAAATCTGAAACCATTGTAACTTTATAGCATTTTTCCCGTAGAATCTGAAAAAAATACTTATAAAATTTTAGGTGGTAGTTTTCACCCTTATTTTGAGATTTTTAAGTTTAAAATCGAAATTTCGCAAAGTACGCCACCTTCGATTTTTTTTTGTTTTTTTTATTTTATTCCTTTTTAAATTTGCTTTCGATTAAGTCATGTCTCATGATGGTAATCGACCTGGAACAGGCCCAACCGTCTTGAGGGTTGAGATATAACGGTAAAAAGGTGGATTTTTGCCTTTGGGCCTTATGTTGGACCTGTTCTCATGATGGTAATCGACCTGGAACAGGCCCAACCGTCTTGAGGATTGAGATATAACGGTAAAAAGGTGGATTTTTGCCTTTGGGCCTTATGTTGGACCTGTTCTCATGATGGTAATCGACCTGGAACAGGCCCAACCGTCTTGAGGATTGAGATATAACGGTAAAAAGGTGGATTTTTGCCTTTGGGCCTTATGTTGGACCTGTTCTCATGATGGTAATCGACCTGGAACAGGCCCAACCGTCTTGAGGATTGAGATATAACGGTAAAAAGGTGGATTTTTGCCTTTGGGCCTTATGTTGGACCTGTTCTCATGATGGTAATCGACCTGGAACAGGCCCAACCGTCTTGAGGATTGAGATATAACGGTAAAAAGGTGGATTTTTGCCTTTGGGCCTTATGTTGGACCTGTTCTCATGATGGTAATCGACCTGGAACAGGCCCAACCGTCTTGAGGATTGAGATATAACGGTAAAAAGGTGGATTTTTGCCTTTGGGCCTTATGTTGGACCTGTTCCAGGTCGATTACCATCATGAGACATGACTTAATCGAAAGCAAATTTAAAAAGGAATAAAATGAAAAAAACAAAAAAAAATCGAAGGTGGCGTACTTTGCGAAATTTCGATTTTAAACTTTAAAATCTCAAAATAAGGGTGAAAACTACCCCATAAAATTTTATAAATATTTTTTTCAGATTCTACGGGAAAAATGCTATAAAGTTACAATGGTTTCAGATTTTTTTTATTGGCACGACGACGACGACGAGAATTAAGAAACTGGTAGTCGAAGCAAAAATTCGAATTTTATGACAGCCATAGAAGCTCATGGTGTGGGTCAAAAAATCCGAAAAAATTCGACAAATGTTTTCTAAAATAGTACTACCGATTGCCATAGGTTTCGATCAAATCTAATTTTTGAGCGTACCCCTTTCACATGGAATGACCCATATATTATATATATAATAAAAAAAAAACAGATATATTTTATACGTATATATGTGTATAATTTTTTTTTAGCATAAAACGTGTTTTTACACAAAATTATTTCGGCTTTATTTGTATAATAAAAAAATTAGTATTGCAATATATTTGAAATAAAATATATATAGAGTTGAATATTTAAAAAATAATATTAAATAATATTTTTTAAATATTATTAGAGGTGGATATATAATCATTTTTCGTACATATATTATGTTGCACCTATGTTGTTAAAATTATAATAATGATGTAATGTTACAACAGTGTTGTAATTTAAAATATACTGTTATTAGAAAAATTATAACAATGCCATAACTTGTTATAACAATGATATAATAATCTACCCAGTGAATACCAACTAATGGCAATATTACATCAATGTTATAATTTTTCACTCAACAATGTAACTACGTACAACATGTGTTATATTATATTGTTGAATGGGAAATTATGGTATTGATAGCAGCGTTATTGTAAGTTGGTGTTCACAAGGATATTGTTAATCGATATTTACGAAATTTATTCTCAAGTGTACACGTGAAGATATGTTTGAGCATGTCGAGACGTAGCCGGAGACTCTCGGCAACCGTGAAGCGGCGGGAACAGCTGGCAATCGTATTCATATCGATCCGACCAACTATCGATAAATGTCGACTACTCGCGCAAACAAAACACCGAAATTGTTTTATCGTCGTTACAACATATTCATTACTTCGTCTTCACGGTCCGTTCTTCCGTTTGTCTCCTCTCGCGATACGTGAATACCCACGAGATCGTGCAAACGATTTTGCACCTGCGAATCAACACGAATCAGTTCAGTATTCGCCGAAATCTCATCGCTGTCGCAAAACAGTCGTTTTCGTTGCCGCGCCTTTTATACTATATCTATAAGTCGCAAAAATCTCTCAAGCTCAATATTATCCCGTTTCTTCTCTCGCTTCCCGGGAAAAAATAATTATATGTGGATTTTGTCTCTACATGTCTATGCATAATCATATATAATTACATGTCCCATATCTTTAAAAAATGCCTTTGTACGAATATAATTAAAACGAATGCTTATGTTTATATGGCTGGCCACGATGTAAACATTTAATTGAATCAAATGACTTTTCCCGGTTTCCCATTCAACAGTATTTTTATTTCGTAGACATGTTTAATTATATATAATAATTATAATATGCGTGTGTAGCCACATAGAGATAAATTTCATATATATAAATTGCATATACAATTATATGTAATTATATATAATTTTATATGATTACATATATAAACTCTTTTCCCGGGTTCTTCGCCTCCTGTTCTCCTTCTTAAATAGTTCCTTCCTCCACGCGAATCTAGAAATTCCGCTGAGTAGAAGTAATAGTAGTACGTTTTGTTGAGCTAGCACGCGCAAAGCAACGCGGTGTCGTCTCTCGAGGCAATCGATTCTGAGAAATCGCGTATCGACCGTTTCAGGACAACGGGACACACCTTGAGGAGTTCCCCTCCTCTGGTCCAGGGAGTTAAGGTACAACATTGAGCGATTTGTTTATTTTGTTTTCTTCCTAATCGGGTGATCCCTTCAGGTCCACGGTGTGTATCGCGGGCGCGATGAGTGTCGTCAGAAGGCAGTGTCCAGAGCTGCCATGCTGGTCGAGATGTCCGGATCTGCACGACAAGCCTCCAGGAACTCGGACAGCGTCACCACACCGTCCCTGTTGCCGTCCATTTTCTGGAACAAGTAAAGTCGATTTGAGCCTGAGAGCTCCTTCTGCCGTATTTGTCACGCATTAAAAATTCAAGTGACGACTCAAGCGCTACGCTTTCGCGGCGCGCTGTTTGGGGTTCCTAGGGAGAAATATTTCTTTTTTTTTGAGATTGAGCAATATACATTCCACACATCAACCGAATGTACGATCGATCGAAGGGTGTATTTAGGTTGCAGGAATAGTTATACACGGAAAAGAAAAGCAAGTACGGTTGAATTAACGAGACATGTGTTCGGTTAATTAAGTTTCCGTGAAACTAAATAATGTATAAACAATATATCATTATATACCAACATCTTACAAACAAATAATAGAATTTCTAGTCGAAAACATAAATCTAATTTTGTTATCATTGCGCATATCCTTAAATTTGTCTGGTTATACTTCAAACAGAATACACCTAATCCAATTAGTCTGGTTACCTCGATAAAATCTATGGCTCGTCCATCAAATAGTCTGGTCTTAACACATCCCTATTTCAGAGTAATTAAATCAATCTTTCGTTTCGACTCGTTCCTTTCATTCCTCCCCTTTTGACGACTACGTTACGCTCCGACGCAGCATATCGGGGCTATTTTTTATGTTTTCCATAAAAAGTAACTCGGATAAAAATATCATCGGCGATATATTCTTATTGCAGTCATAACGTTCTCGGAAGGATAATAACGCGCGGTCTACGCCGCATCGTCGCGCAACCGCCTTAATACACCCCGTGAACATCGTGACCATAATAGAGCATTGTGTTACTTTAAGAAGTCGGTATTATGTAAAACGCTATAACGGTCTTATAAACTTTCTATATGGGAAAGTGCGCACCGTTCACACACACACAAATCCGTAAGTCTCTCTTTGTTTCGCATCACGGTCGCTCGCGGATACCAGCGGAGACCCTCATATCTCGTAACTTCAACATGATTGAATGAACTATGAATGAATGGAATTACTATGAAGCTTAAACGCCGCCGGGGGGAAAAAGCGCCACGCTGACCCAGATTGGAAGAGCGCTGACGTACATCTCAAGACGGTGTTCTACGAGGAAAAAACCTGCAGCGCTCGCACGCTTCCGCGTTTCTACGACGGATACACATCTGTGTGCGCCACGTATGCGTCACTTAAAGTAGAACTGGTCAGCCATGGGCGGTCCAGCTATTGCGCGTCTCGCCATCTATCCATCCGTTCCTATTGTATCGCGCACTCGGCTACAACGATTTTTCGTTGTAATATCTCACGCTTTTCTTTCCTCAAGTAGAACATGAAATCACGATAACGTCAAAAGAAAGGGGGGGGAGGAATTTCCCATATTCTTTCACCACCTTGATGCATAGCTGTGCGAATATAATATATA